CTTTTCTGAAGCTCTGGAGACACCTGGAAGAGGAAGAGAGTGTTCTGGATACCTCCTAGGACCACATTGGCCCTGGGTGCAGGAAAAGCCCAGGCAGGAGAAACAGACCCTGCTGAGGGGTCTCCTCTTTGCCTCCTCCCTGGGTCCCAGCTGGGTGTTCTTGGTTCACTGCTGGCCAGCGTCAGGCAGTGCATGGCCAAGCCCACCGCTATGTCATCATTCCAGGTGGAAGGGGCTTGAAGGCTGCATCATGGAGTGATGGGAACCTGGATTTAGTTGGTATGACCTGAGCTCAGATTTCAGCTTTTCCACATCCTGGCAGCGGGGCCCTCGGGTGGGAATTCCTCCTCCGCAAAATGAGAGCTTGTGAGAATTAAACTGGCCCCGGCATTTAGGAAACAGCCCTGTGATGTAGGTTCATGCTCTCATGACCCAATTACTTCCCAAATACAAAAAATTAGCTAGGAGCGGTGGTGGGCACCTGTAACTCCAGCTACTCAGGAAGCAAAGACAGAAAATTGCTTGAATCCAGGAGGCAAAGGTTGCAGTGAGCTGAGACGGTGCTACTGCATGCCAGCCTAGGCAACAGAGCAAGGCTCTGTCTCACGGAAAAGAAAAAAAGGAAAAAAAAAAAAAAGAAATGGAAGGAGATGAAAAGGAATATATGTAACATAGGCAAGGACTTCATGACTAAAACACCAAAATTGTTGACAACAAAAGTCAAAATAGATAACTGGGACCTAATTAAACTCCAGAGCTTCTGTACAGTAAAAGAAACAATCAACAGAGTGAACCAGCAACCAACAGAATGGGAAAAAATTTTGCAATCTACCCATTTGACAAAGGGCTAATATCCAGAATCTACAAAGAACTAAAACAGACATACAAGTAAAAAGCAAACAAACCCATCCAAAAGTGGAAGATATGGACAGACAATTTTCAAAAGAAGGCATATATGAAGCCAAGAAACATATGAAAAAATTCTCATCGTCACTGATTATTAGAGAAATGCAAATCAAAACCACATTGAGATATCATCTCACGCCAGTCAGAATGGCGATCATTAAAAAATCTGGAGACAACAGATGCTGGAGAGGATGTGGAGAAATAGGAACACTTTAACACTGCTGGTGGGAGTGTAAACTAGGTCAACCATTGTGGAAGACAGTGTGCTGCTTCCTGAAGGACCTAGAAATAGAAATTCCATTTGACCCAGCAATCCCATTACTGAGTAACATACACAGAGGATTATAAACCATTCTATTCTAAGGACACATGCACACATATGTTCATAACGGCGCTGTTTACAATAGCAAATACCTGGAACCAAAACAAATGCCCATCTACGACAAACTGGACAAGAAAAACGTGGCACGTATACACCATGCAATACTAAGCAGCCATTAAGAAATGATGAGTTCATGTCATCTGTGGGGACATGGATGAATCTGGAAACCAGCATTCTCAGCAAACTGACACAGGAACAGAAAATCAAACACTACATGTTCTCACTCATAGGCAGGTGTTGAACAATGAGAACACATAGACACAGGGAGGGGAACATCACACACTGGGGTTTGTTGCGGGGGCCAAGGGAGGGACAGCGGGGGAGGATGGGGAGGTCGGGGAGGGATAACATGGGGAGAAATGCCAGATGTGGGTGATGGGGGGATGGAGGCAGCAAACCACATTCCCATGTGTGTACCTATGCAACAATCCTGTATGATCTGCAAATGTAACCCAGAACCTAAAGTACAATTAAAAAAACAAAAAGATTTGCAAGGAATCAGAAAGCATTTAAATATCCACATGAAGATATTCGTCAGCAACACTGAGACCGCAAAGAAAAGGAAATCAAATCAGTGATATTAAGAATAAATTGGAGAAATCCTCCAAGAATGTAGAGGAAAAGGATAACAGAATGAAAGTGTTGACGACGAGAGCTCTGTGAAACCCAATTTTAAAACTCCAAGATTAATACAATAACATTTTCAGAATAGAGTAAAACAACAAACTAATGAAAAAAACAACAACCAAGGGAACATTTTTTTCTTGACCTTTAGAAAAAACATGTTCTAGAAAAAGAAATCCTCACATAGACATATCCTGGCAGAATATGTATTGAAATGCTAGAAAACTTTAAACCATTCCGGGATCTGAGAAAAGTACTTAGAAATGAATGAAAATTGCCAGGCCCGGTGGCTCACGCCTGTAATCCCAGCACTTTGGGAGGCCGAGGCGGGTGGATCACGAGGTCAAGAGATCGGGACCATCCTGGTCAACATGGTGAAACCCCGTCTCTACTAAAAATACAAAAAATTAGCTGGGAGTGGTGGCGCGTGCCTATAATCCCAGCTACTTAGGAGGCTGAGATAGGAGAATTGCCTGAACCCAGGAGGCAGAGGTTGCAGTGAGCTGAGATCGCGCCATTGCACTCCAGCCTGGGTAACAAGAGCGAAACTCTGTCTCAAAAAAAAAAAAGAAATGAATGAAAATCAGGCTGACCCTGGCTTTTCGTCTGTGATAGAAAATTCAGGGAAACACTAGAATACCATCTACATAGTTGAGGGGAAGATTAGAAACCCAAGTAAGCAGACATTTTGGAAACACACTTGCGTAGTCTGACATCTGTGAAAATAACATACTTGGCTGTTTTTGCCTTGAGAGTACATACCACCAATAAGCAGCTAAAGAAAAATATTACTTTAGTTTAACTATTCTGGAAGACAATTCATCAAGGATCTAGAACCAGAAATACCATTTGACTGGGGTCAGTGTGGTGAGAAAGCAGCAGGGGCAAAGGCCCTGGGGTGAGTGTGGGGAGGAGGCAGCAGGGGCAAAGACCCTGGGGGTGGGTGTGGTGAGGAGGCAGCAGAGGCAAAGGCCCTGGAGTGAGTGCGGTGAGGAAGCAGCTGGGGCAAAGGCCCTGGGCTGGGTGCAGTGAGGAGGCCGCTGGGGCTAAGGCCCTGTGGGGGGGGGGGGCGGTGAGGAGGCAGCTGAGGCAAAGGCCCTGTGGGGGCGGGGGGTGGTGAGGAGGCAGCTGAGGCAAAGGCCCTGTGGGGGGGGGGGTGTGGTGAGGAGGCAGCTGAGGCAAAGGCCCTGGGGTGGGTTTCATTAGGAGTCAGCTGGTAAATGTCATCAGCCTGGTGTTCACATGCATGGCTCAGTTCCCCTAGTCAACTCCCTCAGGGGCGTCAAATGTCTCAGCCTTGCATGAGAGATTTCCCGACTTTCTAAACTTGTCAGCCCTCAAGGTTTGTCTTCCTGGGTGGGTTTCTGCTGTGCCTGAGAGGTGGCCCAGGGCCACGTGACAGGGGGAGAAACTAGTCCTGCAGGCCTGGGTTTGCCTACCACTCACTCTGCCTCTCAGTTGCTATGTGACCTGAGGCAAGTTACCAGACCTCTCTGAATATGTTTTCCTAGCGGAGCTTTTGATACATGCCTGGTGTGGGGTGTGCAGTCAGGATATGCTGTTTCCCTGCCACTTTTCAATGTTTCCTCTTCTCAGCCAACATTTAAAACACTTACCACAGGCTGGACGCAGAGGCTCAAGTCTGTAATCCCAGCACTTTGGGAGGCCAAGCAGTAAGTGTCCCACGGGCAACAGATGTGCTGCCTGGGAAGCAATGCTGGAGGCTGTGCCCACTTAGGCAGATGGTCAAGATGAGGAGGGCATCAGTTTAGCCCAGCCACAGACAAAGCTGCTGAGGCTCTGTGGCCTCTGGGCCTGCCTGGCACAAGATATGGAGGCAGGAGTGAGTGGGCCTCTGTGCTCTGGGCTCACCAAGGATGAAACTGGGGTATGCTGGAGAGCTGACTCCCGACAACTTGGGCTTTGTGTGGAGCAGGTATGGGAGCCCCCCCACCACTTGTCTCCCCATGCCAGTGGTGCAGTGCCCAGAGCCTGCAATCCTCACTCTGTGTGTGGGCCAAGAAAGAATGCACCCTTTGGCTGGTGCACTAGGTGACCTTCAGGCTATCTGGGACCAGCTCTGACAGCCTCTGCTCTGGGATCAGCTGCCGCAGCAACCTACACATGGCATGGGGCAGCAGCAGTGGCATCCCTGGACATTGACCCCAGTAGCATAGAACCCAGGACCGGATACTGCCACAGTCAGCCCACAGGTGCGGGAGGGCAGAAGGCGCTCAGTCACAACTCTGTGGCTGCACAGTGCCCAGCGCCTGCAAACCTGTGCTCTGGGCTAGGCCTAAGAAAAAGTGGACCCTAGGGTGGGATGGTGGTATACTTCCCGACCCCCACACCCTCAGGGAGCAGCCCCACAAGAATCTGCCATGGGCTCAGCCACAGCTGCAACCTGGAAATGGCACAAGTCAGTATCAGTGGCAACCCCTGGCCCTGTCCTCCCCACCAGCAGCAGGAATCCCAAGGCCGGATGTCACCATGGTGCCTAATTTAGGCGGTCGGCAGCGCAGCTACAGGGTGATGGAAACCGGCGCTCAGACTCATCCTGGGTGCTGCAGTGGGACCAGAGCCCGCGACCCCACACTCTGGGCTTGGGCCAAGAAAGCATGGATCTTAGGGTTGGGGGAGGTGCCCTGGGCAACACCCAGGCTGTCTGAGACCAGCCCTGCAGCCTCCCGTGCATACTGCTGCACCTGCCACCTAGAGATGGCATTCAGCAGTGTGGTGGCAACCCCTGATCCTGCCCACTTCCTCCAACAACGCGGACCTAAGGGCCAGGCCCCGCAGCAGGAGTAGGTCTGGAACTGGCCCAGCCCCATCCCAGTGGCTGTGGGGTAACCAGCACCTGCGACCAGTACCCTGGACCAGGGACAAAAAGGAACAGAAACCAGCACTGTCACCCTATAGCTCAACTGTAGCTGCCACCTGCACACGGCGCATCAGAAGCGGTGGCAACCCCAGCTCTGCCTGCCATAAACAGCAGTGGGGGACCTAGGGACCAAGGCTGCCTCAGAGGCTGCCACCTGGCCACCTCTGCACCCGTCCCTGCCCTGGTGGCAGCCAGCCACGCTCCTACCTCTCTGGCGTTCTGCAGTCTCCATCGCTGCCACCAACTGCAGCGAGGCGAGCCATGGTGCCACAGGCTCCAGCCTCCAGCATGCAGCAGATAGCTCTTCCTTCTCGTAGCATGGAGCAGCTGAGCAGGCAAAGCCAGAAAAGCCTAGAACGGGACACAAGAGAATGGTAGCATTAGACCCCCACCTTGTCATGCTGGCCACTGGGTGGCATGGGACAGTTTCAGTGAAGGCACTCACACCCACCCTCTAAAGGCCACAGCATCTCTTTTTAGCCCAAACTGGCTAGGGAGTAGAGACTGGAGACACCAGGGTGCCTGGGCTTCCCACTCCATAGGAACCACTGGGACCACCCAGGCTGTGCTCGGGAAGCAGGAGTAGCAGAAACTTAGCCCCAGACAGCCCTCCTCACCCATGTGCTGGTTCACATTCCTGAGACCTCCACCCACAGGGCCCTGTCACCCCATGGTCTCTGCTACAGAAATGTGTGCCCGCCACACAGCAGCAGATGGCCCTTTAGAGTCTAGAGTCTGGGGAGAGGAGGACCACTCCTCCCTCAGAGATCACCGCTGTCACTGAAACCTCCATCACCTGCCACCGGCAGTGTAGCCCCAGGATAGCGCCAACACCCCATCCCCCACCACCGGCAGTGTAGCACGTCATGGCAGCCCCTAACCTGCCCCTGCCTTAGACACTGCAGCACTCCATGGCACCCGCAAACCACCCCCCTACCATTGGCAGCACCCCAACAGGCTCCCTGGGGTGGGCAGTGTAGCCACAGATAGCGTCCCCAAGCAGACCCCCACCACAGGCAGTGATGCCCCCATATGGCACCCAAACCACCCCCTACTGCGGGCGCTGCAACCCTGAATAGTGACTGCCCTAACTCACTGCCCGTCGGGAACAGTGCGGCCCTGGATAGCGCCCCCAACCAACTCCCTGCCTTGGGCAGTGCAGCCACCGATAGCACTCCAAACTCCCTCTCCACCTTGGGAAGTACCCCATGGCTAGCTCGGGTAACCCCTGATAGCGCACCCAACCTGCCCCTGCCACAATCCACGCAGCGTGGAATAGCACACTCACCTGCTCTTTACCAGGCAGCGCAGATCCCTGAGAGCACCTGGCCCACCCGCCGCCTCCCCACCACTCAGGCTGTGCATACGGCCCCAAGAGTGCCCCCACCAACCCTCTACCCCACTCCACAGGCAGTCCAACCCTATGTAGCTCTCCCAACAAGCCCCCCAACCTCTGTCTCAGTGTAGTCCCCATGACGCCTTTAACACCACCCCTCCCCCCCACCAGCAGTGTAGCACCCCCAAACCATCCTCCACCGCCAGCATTGCAGCCCCAGACAGTGCCCCCAACCCACTCCCCATGTGGGCGATGCAGCCTTGGATAGTGCCCCCAACCAGCTCCCAGACACAGGCAATGATGTCGCGGATCTTACACCCGCCCCCCCCCCGCCACTGGGGGCGACGTAATACCTGACAGCACCCCAAACCATCCCTCGCCGCTGGCAGTGTTGCACCCCATAGTGCCACCAACCCATCCCAGACAAAGCAGAGAGCCGCGGAGAAGGAGCAGGGAGGTCTGGAGGATTCCGTGTGGGGTACAAGTCCTCGCCACTTACCGCAGAGACCTGTCTCGTCCTCCACCATCACATTGAAGCCACCACGGCTTCTCCAAAGAAACTCGCTCTGATCGCGCCGCCGCCGCCGCTTAAGCCGACTTCCCTCCGGCCGGGCTGGGGCCGCCGTCGCCGCCGCTGACTTCCCTGTGGCCGGGCTGGGCTGACCCGGGCCGCCGCCACCGACGCCGCCGCCTTCTCGAGGGCCAAGTTAGTATTGCGCCACTGCGCTCCGGCCTAGGCAACAGGACGAAGCCCGGTCTTAAAAAATGTTTTAAAAATTAATAATAAACATTTTAAAAAAAAGGACACTGCCCGGGCTCAGCCTTCGCCTCGGGAGAGAGCTCGGCAGGCGCGCTTCCTCCTCCTTCCGCCTCCCCTCCGCTGTCCTCATGGGTCCCCTCCCTGCCCCACTCCCCTAACCCCGGGCTCCCAAGCCCACTGATCTTTAACCTCCTCTGGGCCTCCAATCCCCGGGCCCCCAGGGGAAGGAGCCTGCGAGGCGGCCGGGGCTCCCCCACTCCCTCCGCCGGGCCTCCGCGCGCCTCCAGGCCCTGCCCCGAGTTACCGCAGCAGCAGCCGCTACCACTGCTCCTGGAAGCACCCGCGCCGGTCGTCGGAGAAGTCGGCGCGGAAGCTCCAGAGTCCGTCCAACTCCTTGCGCTCCCGCGACGGGCTCTCCCGGGGTTACAGCATCTCGCCCTGCAGCGACAGCGTGCAACTACACATCAGCCGTGCAAGGCACCGCCGGCCCTGAAGCCAGGCTACCCGCTCTGCCGCTCGGCTTCCGGCTGCGGTAATTAATAGAAGCGCGGGAGGTGGCCGGCGGGCGTGTCGCTTGACGTACTGAGGCCGTCGGCGCCATGTTTGTTGAGGGCAAGTGCCAGGTCTGGAGGGGAGGCGAAGCCGGGCGCTACTGGGTGGGGCCAAGGGCTGGGAACCCCGGCCTAGGCCTTTGGCGAAGTTGGACCCTCACATGCAGCCCCTGTCAAGAAGGGCGAGATCTTCTCCCCGCTACCGCCCAGGCTGGACGATCCAGGGCGGCTGGCCAGGACAGAACCCCTGAAATCTGGGATTCCCCAGTTTCGTCAAGGAGCACCTCCGCTCGCTTTCCCCAGCACTACTCCTCCGAACAGACCCCAGCGGAACCTCTTCCATGCCTGCCGGGTGCAGCGGTGACTCTCGCCTGTAATCCCAGAACTTTGGAAGGCAGAGGTTGGTGGATCACTTGAGGCCAGTCTGGCCAACATGCCGAAAACCGATCTCCACTTAAAAAAAAAAAAAAATTAGATGGGCATGGTGTTGCATGCCTGTAATCTCAGCTACTCGCGAGGCTGAGGTCAGAGAATCACTTGAACCAGGGAGGCGGAGGTTGCAGTGAGCTGAGATGTCACCATTGCACTCCAGCCAGGGCGACAAAAGCGAAACGCCATTTTTTGTTTGTTTGTTTGTTTGTTTTTTCTGAGACGGAGTCTTCCCCGTCACCCAGGCTGGAGTGCAATGGTGCAATCTGCTCACTGCAACCTCTATCTTCGAGTTCAAGCAATTCTCCTGCCTCAGCCTGCCAAGTAGCTGGGATTACAGGCCCGAGCCACCACGCCCGGCTGATTTATTGTATCTTTTGTAGTGGCACCTGCAGACAGGCTCAAGGCTCCCTAAGGACCCTGTGCAGCGTAGCTCAGGTTCACAGAACACGACCAGGGGCGTGTCTAGCGTCCGTCGGGGAGAGCCCACCTCCTAGGGGGCGTGGCTAAGAGACTAGGCGGTTCTCGTTGGGAGCCCGGGTAATCTGGGTGGGATCAGGAGGAGCTGGCGTCGCGATGTGATGACGTCAGTCCCTGGCCTGGCCTGATGTGGCGCGCTGGGCGTTCGCGGCTGTTCGGCGTGTAGGTCCCAGCCGTTCAGCTGAGGTAGGGACTTGGTGTGGGCCGGAATGTTACAGGCTGTTGGAGTTGTGGATGAGGAAGAGGATCCTGCGGAGGAGGATTGTCCTGAATTGGTTCCCATTGAGACGAAGCAAAGCGAGGAGGAGGAAAAGTCTGGGCTTGGCGCCAAGATCCCAGTCACAATTATCACCGGGTATTTAGGTAACTAACCATCCCGGTCACAAAATGCCGTGAACTCTCGCGTCCTGGGATTTTGGGGGCTGCCGGTGCCTCTTCTCCTGAGGCATTGGGGCCTCGTGACCAAGAGCAAATTTCTTTGAGGTAGGGGCTGGGTCACTTGCTCCTCGTTTGGGTTTACGTCTCATTTCGGGAGATTCCTTTCAAACAAGACTTTGAACCTCAGACACGCCCCCTAATTATCTCTGTGCGGTCTTACCAAGATATGTTACCATTCTGACGCTCATCTGCTTCATTGAAAATGGAAAAACCTGTCACCTGTGAAACGGGGCTGGAACCACTGAAGGTTTGCCATTAAAGGACGTCCCGTTTGTAAAATTCCCTACACGAATGGGGCGTTCCTCAGTAGATTTCCCCTTCCCCACGAGCCAGAGTCCTCAAGCCAGTTAGCGGGAAGTGCTCCTATCTCAAACACTTTTTGAGGTGTGTTTGCAAACCACTGCGTAGGAAAGTAAGAATAAAATTTCTGTCCTCCAAGACTATTTCTCAAACTACAAAAGTTTAGGAGTGTACCGGGATACTCGAAACCACAAGTTTGTGCACTTGATAGTTTCGTGAAGGGCGGTTTATGCACTTACACTAGAAGCTTGTTACTGGAAAAGTTTGAGAAACGTATTTTTAAACCTTACAGTTAAATAGAAGGGCTAGAATAAATATATGATTGTATTATAAGTGTGGAAAAAGTTAGAAATGTAAATAAAGTGATACTGACTGTTTCAGGAAAATATTTCTAGGTGCTGCTAGGAGGAACTTTTATGTAAAAATAAGAAATCACTGGTGTTTTCTTTCTTTTTATTTTGTGGATTGTAAGTTTATTCCCGTTTTTGCTCAGAAGTAATTTTATAAAGGAATCAATTTTTGGCATTTCCCCGCTTATTGAGAGGCTGCTCTTTTGAGAAGATGAACACATTTCTTGTCTAAAACAATGTATTTCAAAGCTGCCCCTCGGGCCTTTTCCATGTTGCTCACTGGTAGGTCAGGAGATCATTGGAGAAAATGATCTGAAGCTCAGGAGTGAGGACGGATGTCAGTTACCTTGCTGCCGAATCTAGGGATAGTTTCACTCCTTATCCCTGATCATTTTCCCTTTTGAAACACTGTCCCGTTGGCTTCTATTACATTTTTCTTTTGATTTTTCCACCTGCTTCTCTGGCTTCATTTTAAGGCTCCCCCGCTCCTACCCGCTTTGTTTATGTTTAGCTACACACCTGTGTAATTTCTGTTTTGATATTCTACAACTTAACATGTCTAAAACTTCTCCATTACCGTTCCCCCAAATCCTGCTCCTGTGATTTCCAACCACTTGGAATACTCTAAAAGCCGCCTAACTAACTGGAGTCTTGCTGCCCTTTAATTTATTTGTTGCGTGTTAGCCTAAATGGTCTTTATAAATGTCAATTCGATTGTGTCACACCCTTCAGTGGCATCCATATGGGTTAAAGTTCAAATTCCTTAACATGAATTACAAGGACCAGTGGGATCTGGATCTTGCCAAGCTTTCCAGCTGGCGAAAATGGCCCTGTACAATGAACTAATGTTACTTCAAAGGTGCCAAGTATTTTAGCCCTTTGGAATAGGTACTTTTTTTTTTTACTGTTAATCCTCTGGCTAGATGTCCCTCTGAGGTTCTCCATAGCATTTTGTACAACTATTTAATGTGCCATCCTGTGACATAATTGCCTCCTTATTTACTGAATTCCCCTCCTTCCCTTGATATTTCTAAGCTCCATGAAGGCAGAGACTGTCTTTCTCACTTTTTCAACAAGGCCCAGCATAAATCTGTTGCACAGTAGAAACCTTCGAATGAATGAACTGTCTTAAAGTGTTTTTCTTCATAATATGGTTAAAAAGCCCTAGTAAATCTGTTAGAAGGTTTCTTACATTCACTGTTTCATTTCAGTTTTCACATCACTGCCCTGTGAAACACTCACGTTCAGGGCCTCTGTCTCAGGCTTGGACTGGTTTTAAGATTTTTCTCATTGCCCTGTCTCCTTAAGTCTCTCTCTTCCATTCTATGCTTCACACTCTTGTGATGTTGAGCTTCCTAAAGTACTCTAAATATAAGCCTTCATCTCTTAAAAAGTTTTGAAAGGAATATGGCATAAAAAGATATTAATATCCTGATACTCCGTAAAATCTTCCTAGTTATACACTAGAAAACTTAATGTATTTCCGAAGATACGTATAACCTACACGTAAAAGTTTTTAGCAGAACTGTAATAGTAAAATACTGGAAACAAATGAAATGTCCAAGAAAAAAGATAAAGAAATGATACAGTCTTACAGTTGAACTACAATATTATGCAGTTAGGTTTTCTTTCTTTCCTCTATGAACTTTAGTGTATATGGTTCACAGGACAATTATTTTTCTTCTACATGAGATTAATATATTAGTTTCATATGCCACCTGCTGGGTAAAGTTGGTATAGTCTTACGAATTTATCTTTACCGAATATTCTGTCCATTGTTGACACTACCTGCCTCTATTCCCCATTTCATAAAACTTTTATAGATTGTTTAAAGCATACTAAAAGTAGCCCTATAGTCAGCCTGAATTTGTGTCTTGTTAATGTTGAAATAAAAGGTCATTATGTGTAAATTTTAGGAAAGATTAGGTTAAAGAAACTGTGTTTCAACTTGTAAGAGTATTTGTAAATATTTATAAAATATGTCTATATATAGCATTTTGCAATAGGTTTCAAAGGCTGCTTTAATCTTATTCTCTAGTATGTTTATACTATAGTTTAATATATGAAAAATAACATGTAAATTCTCAAAAAACATTAGGATTTTTTTATATCTTTTTTGTGTCTTTAAAATTATTTTGAATTTTTTTATTTACAACAAATATGTTTTATAGGTGCTGGGAAGACAACACTTCTGAACTATATTTTGACGGAGCAACATAGTAAAAGAGTAGCAGTCATTTTAAATGAATTTGGGGAAGGTAAGTAAAGTTCAACAAATGTCACGTGGCAAGATTTTATGTGACTGTTTATTCCTCTGGTGAATTGATATTCCATATTTAAAAATGAAAATGCAAGATATCGATGTGGATAGGTTTGGAAAAATTAATTTCTGTTAAGATTTATATGAGTTGAGATACTGAAATCAGTTTTCATAAAATTTTATTTTGTATAACTTTGGAATTCATATTGACAGAATTAAACTAGATTTTTACATGAAATAAATGACTCCAGAATAAAAATCTAGACATATGAAGAAACTTTGTTTTAGAAACTAGAAAGGTACTTTTGTATGAACTCTATTACTTATTGCAACTCATGAAAAATATTTGAAAATGCTTCAGTTATGTTTACTTTTTTTTAACATTTGTTATTTGCAGTGCAGTTAAAACCAAAGATTTTTAAAATAAGTTAAACGTATGGTCTTTATCCTCATGTAGCTTAAATTATTTGTGAAAATAAGTGTGCTTGACTTCTCAACTCAACTATTAAGCTGTGGTTAAAAAAATAGTGCTACACACAATACTTTGATTACCTTTATAGGAATTTTTCTTCATAAGTATGAATTGTAGTCAAAGCTCTCTTCTAGCCAAAACCCAGTATCTATTAAACTATTTCTTTTAAAATATACTATTTGTTTCAGTTGTAAAAAGTAAAAGAGCTAGGTTTTGTGAGCAGGATGGGAAGACTGTTACATTCGATTTCTGGTTTTAATAAACTAAAGAGAAAAGTGCTTTTTAGGCAAAAATCCTGGGATTTCTAATAACAGTCCTTTTCTTCCCCCAGCGTCTTATTAAATAGCCTGTTCCCGATTACATTTATTCTTACTATTTTCTTTCTTTTTTCCTGGATCATTTTCACAATTTTACTTTCACGGCATCCTCAATACTTTCCTTCATGTTTCATTAACATTCTCTATACAGTCTGAATGCTGTAGCAGCCCCTTTAGAAGCTCTTTATTAATACCTAGCTGAAATATGATAAAAAATATATGTGTAAAGACACTCAATTTTATGGGTGGCTCGTTTGCTTACTGGACTTTTAGAATTCTTCACCATTTGGTATATTTCTTTATTAGAAGAAAAGTAAAACATTTAAAATAATTATTATATATTACAAGCATTTCAAATATAGTTTATTCTTTCTTAAGTAAGTATTGGTAGAAAACTACGTGAACTTGACTAAAAGTTTAATTTTTAAATGAGCACATGATACCCTGGCCAAAAACCTTTCTCCAAATTAACTAGGATTTTTACTCAGTGGGAATATTTAGCAGTTTGTCTAACAGGAACAATTTAGAAGAGGAACGAAGAGAAAAAAGATAGATAAGGCAATCTCTTAAGATGTTGAAAGGCACGTAAAACCCAATATATAAAACATACCAGTCTATCTAGAAAGTTTACTCTGTACAAGAAAAAAATGCCTTCAAGATAGCTACTTTATTAAGAAATGGGGGTGGCCAAGGAAGAGGCCTAAGGAGGAAGTAGGTATGTTTATCAGTGTAGGGTGTGTCTTTTTAGGGGCTTAAGTCATCTTAAAGCTAAAATAACGTAGTGTACTGTAATTTAGATATCAAGGCTGCATGAATAAAATGAAAGAATGTTATAAAATGAATTTTCTGCTTTAAGATCTCCATTATTGAGTTTCATTCATCTTTGTTTTTTGTTGGCTAGTGGACATAAGGTAAAGAATGCAACAATCTTGCATGTTTTTCACATATACCCCAAAACCTAAAATGCAATTTAAAAAAAAGTCAAATGCAAAAAAAAAAAAAAATGGCTGTTTGTTAATTATTCTAGGAAGTGCGCTGGAGAAATCCTTAGCTGTCAGCCAAGGTGGAGAGCTCTATGAAGAGTGGCTGGAACTTAGAAACGGTTGCCTCTGCTGTTCAGTGAAGTGAGAAATGTGTTTACTATGTACTTGGTTTACTAGAAATGTTTATTGATTGTATTTCCAGTTTTAAGTTTCTTGAGTAATTTAACTGAATTTACAGTTTGCTTCATTGTATTTTCAAACAAATAGAAAATAAACTTATTAGGAAGCATTTTCTTAAAGTGTTTCTTACTCTCTTTTCTATCTGCTCTAATGCTTTGGCCCTTTAATTGAGTTTTTAATGCTTTCGATGTCAGGGCTTATTTAATTATTAATCTCTAGTACATGAAAGTCTCATGTAAAAAATGATTATTCTGAATTTAGTACGTCATTGGTCATATTTCCAAGTATTCAACCTTATAAAAACAAAAATAAATGACTATGTTCCACTAGTTAACTTTCCAAGGACAATGTCTATTTTGTTCACTAGTCTGCCATAGACCCTAGAAGAGTACCCAACACACAGTAGTACTCAAATGTTTGTTGGATGAATTATAAAAATGGCTACTTATATTCTTAATTTTGTATATTCTAGTGAATTAAATCTCTTCAGCATCATTTATTGCCTTAGGTGTTTGACTTTTTGTCAAATGTATTGGCAAGGACAAAATTATAACAGACTTTCTGGAACAACCAAAATGTAATCTATTAAGTAATTTTCTTCACTTTTGATAAAAAAAAATGGGAAATTAAAACCTTGTATCCTAATGAAAAAAAGAATTAAATGGTGTTAATACCAGTGTCCCTTTAGCTATTATATTAAACTACTATAGTTAATAAATTTTATCATTATTTTGGATGTTGATTTTTTTTTTATTTCATAAAGCTATAAAAATAAGATACTGAGTTCGGTCAGATAAAGTTCCCTCTGCTTTTAATTTTAATAAAATTAAAGTAATGTATATGATTTTTTTTTTACCTATTAGAGTGTATGCATTATTGTTTTCTCACTGGTAAATGTGGGACGGACATTTTGTTAGAAGGTTAGAAGCGAGTTAAATTTTCACATTCCTAAGGACACTTTTATCTCTGGTTGTTGAATATATTTTAAATTGTTTATAATAATCACTTCAAAATATTTAGGTAATTTATGTAAATTATTACCTAATGTAAATTATGTTTTGATATTCTCCAGGGACAATGGCCTGAAAGCTATTGAGAATTTGATGCAGAAGAAGGGGAAATTTGATTACATACTGTTAGAGACCACTGGATTAGCAGATCCTGGTAAGAAGTGAGATTATTAATAACCAGAATATAGTTCTGTGATATATAGTAAATAGATGTATTAAAGGAAGATCTAAAATGAGTATTAAAGCTTTCCTTTAATTAAAACTTTTTTTGTTTTAAAAAGAAATAAAATTTTTTTTGTTTTAAAAGAGGAAAAGTACTCAGTTATTTTCTTTGGCAGATGAATGATCAGAGTATTTATTGGTATTTTTAAGCTGTTAACAGAATTTGAAGTTTTATTGCTTGATTTAGGATTATTTGTAAGAACAGTAGTTGTTAAAAGTATAGACATGCAGAGATGTTCTACCTCTAAATACAGTTGTTCCTTGGCATCCATGGGGTATTAGGTCCAGGACCTCTGAGGATACCAAAATCTATGAATGTTTAAGTCCCTTATATAAAACGATGTAGTGTATTCCTATAATCTATGCACATGCTCCCATATGCTTTAAATTATCTGTGGATTACTTATAATACCTAATAAATATAAGTGCTATGTAAGTAGTTATTATACTGCATGGATAAGTGAATGATGACAAGAAAAAAAAAGTGTATATTTTCAGTACAGACATAGCCATCTATATTTTTTCTTTTTTCTTTTTTTTTTTTTGAGACAAAATTTCACTCTGTAGCTAAGGCTGGAGTACAGTGGTGCTATCTCAGCTCACTGCAACCTGCGCCTCCCACATTCAAGTGATTCTCCTGCCTCAGCCTCCCAAGTACCTGGGATTACAGGTGCCCGCCACCATGCCCAGCTAATTTCTCTATTTCTAGTAGAAATGGGGTTTCACCATGTTGGCCAGGCAGGTCTCGAACTCCTGATCTTGTGATCCGCCCCCCTCAGCCTCCCAAAATGCTGGGATTACAGGTGTGAGTCACCGTGCCTGGCCCTTAAGTTTTTCTATTTTTAATCCACAGTTGGTTGAATCTATAGATGTAGAACCAACAGTTATGGAGGGCTGAATGTATATATTTCATTGGTTATATTCCATAGAGATTTTATTTCTGTTTACTGTTCTAACCCAGCTTTCTGAGGCAGTCATTAAGAGATATATAAAGGCTTTGGGCTCTAATCCCAGCAACACTTCTTCCCTTTAAGTTAATTCTTAGCATTTTGTTTTTTTACTAATAAAATTGCAATAATTTTATTTGTAAATGTTGTCATTAAGGTAACAAAGAAGATACAGTTAAATCTTCACCAGGCCTTTTTCCCAGTGTGAAGTTAATGATTATCAAGAAAATTTTTACCTCCAAATAGAATTATATCTAAACTCTACTCTAGAAACATTGTTACTTCCTCCATTGAAGTCTGGAATCCCTCTAAATCATCTGTGAGGGTTGGAATCATCTTTCAAACTCCTATTCATGTTGATATTTTGATCTCTCACGAATAACGAATGTTTTTAATGGCATCTAGAATGATGAATCCTATTCAGAAGGTTTTCAGTTTACTTTGCCCAGATCCATCAGAGGAATCACTGTCTATGGCAGCTATAGCTTTATGAAATATATTTCTTAAGTAAGACTTGAAAGTCAAAGTTACTCCTTGATCAATGGGCTGCAGAATGGATGTTGTGTTAGCAGGCATGAAAACAACAATCTCCTTGTACATCTCTATCACAGTTCTTGAAAGGAATCTTTTTCTAAGCAGTAGATCTCAATGATGGGCTTAAACCATGCTGTAAACAGATGTGCTGTCATCCAGGCTTTATTATTTATAGAAAACAGGCAGAGGGGATTTAGCATTACTTCTTAAGGGCCGTAGGATGGTAAATGATTATTGGCTTCAACTAGAAGTCACCAGCTCCTTTATCCCCTAACAAGAGAATCAACCTGTCCTTTGAATCTTTGAAGCCAGGCATTGACTTCTCATTAGCTGTGAAAGTCCTAAATGGCATCTTCTTCCAAAAGGAGGCCATTTCATCTCCATTAAAAATCTATTGCTAGGACCCACACAGTGGCTCACGCCTATAATCCCAGCACTTTTGGAGGCCAAGGGGGGCAGATCATGAGGTCAGGTTATCGAGACCATCCTGGCCATGGTAAAACCCTGTCTCTACTAAAATAGAAAAAAATTAGCCGAGTGTGGTGGTGTGTGCCTGTAGTTCCAGCTACTCAGGAGGCTGAGGCAGGGGAATTGCTTGAATCCGGGAGACGGAGGTTGCAGTGAGCTGAGATCATGCCACTGCATTCCAGCCTGGCGAAAGAGCAAGGTTCTGTCTCAAAAAAAACAAAAAAAAAATCTGTTGCTTAGTGTAGCTACTTTCATGAATGATGTTAGCTACATCTTCTAGGTAACTTGCTGCAGCTTCTATATCAGCACTTGCTGCTTTACCTTGCACGTTTATGTTATAGAGATGGCTTCTTTCCTTAATGTTGTGAACCAGCCTGTGCTACCTTCCAACATTTCTTCTCCGGCTTCCTCACCTCTCTTATAACCTTCATAGAACTCAAGAGAATAGGGTTGCTCTGAATTAGGGTTTGGCTTAAGGGAACACTGTGGCTTGTTTGATCATCTGTCCTCTCCATATCAGCAATAAGACTTTTGTTTTATTATCATTTGTGTGTTTACTGGAGTAGCCCTTTTAACTTCCTTCAAGAACTTTTCCTTTGCATTCACAACTTGGCTAACTGGCTCAAGAGACCTAGCTTTTGGCCTGTCTTGGCTTTCAACATAACTTCCTCACTAAGTATAATCATTTCTAGCTCTTGATGTAAAGTGATAAACAGGTGACTGTTTTCACTTGAACACTTAGAGGCCGTTCTAGGGTGTTAATTGACCTAATTTCATGTTGATCATATTCTTTATGTTGTCATGGTTCCATCATAATTCTTTTAGTTCTATGTTTTAATAGTTTTGGTGCTCATTACTAGTACTGTTGCTTCTCCATTTCTGAGTTAGTCCATCTCCTGATTGAATTTCATTGTCAGGAAATCTTTTCAAGTTATAGGTACTGCTTTCTTTGGGTTCTGACTTTATTGATCAAAAATATTTGTCTTCTGTTTTTATGTTACTTGAAGGATTACTTGGCTAGGTATAAAATTTATCAGTCACACATTTTTCCCCCCTCAACTTTGTAAATTTTGTTCCATAATCTCCTAGTGTTTTTTGATTGGCTGGATTTCCTTGTCCATTGTTTTCTTCTTTTATTTTTATCAGGAAGAATTTGTGAGTACTATAGTCTCTGAGTTTCAATGCTTGAGAATGTCCGCCTGTTGCTTTCATTCCTGAAAAATAACTTCGCAGGAGGTAATATTGTTTGGGAACACTTTCATTAGCTTTGTGGTCACTGTTTTATTATTTTGGGACATCTAGTGTTACTGTAGAAAAATCTGATTTTTCCCCCGTTCCTCTTTGAAGGTGGCTTGTTTTTTTAATAAAAAATGCATGAAAGGTTTTTTTCTTTATTTTTGAAATTCAGTAATGTAAACAAGTATATCTAAATGCCATTTATAATTGTTTTTTCCTGAATTATAATATGCCCTTAGTTCTTTTAAGAACATTTTTCTTGTTACCATTAATGCTTTTTGTTGGGTCAAATTATTGTTTTCTCTGCTTCATGACACCAGTTTTCCTAATGTTGAATTTTCTTTTTTTTCCATCTGTAGTCTAATTGCTTTTATTTGTCTTTTACCTCTACATTTACTGTAATCCTCTGAAATAGTTTTTTTTTTGGTCATTAATTCTGTTTTCTCCAGTGTCTGTTCTGGTTTTGTTGTTTTAAATGAAATAGTTGGTTAAGTCATTGTGTTTATAGGCTCTAAGTTTCTTTAGCACTACAAACTGGATTTTCATCTTACTCTGCTTCTTGCTTTTGAGCTTGTTTTTATAGGGTTGTATTGTTTTTAAGTTCTTTATTATGATGAAGTTGTTGAGAATTTTCTTTAGTTTTTTTTTTTTGATTATGTATCCTTCCAGATTGGGTTCTTTGCCACTTGTGTGCCCTGTTCATTTCTTTACTTTTTTGTTATTTCTTGCCTTTTATTCTCTGTGTGTGTGTGTTTCTTTTTGTCAGGCTGTAATACCTCATATCTTCTTGATATGAGAGGCTCAGAGAACTTATATGTGGTGCTGATGGAAAATATTTTTAGTACTCTACTCTTCTTACCCAAATTTGTTTTTCTCCTGAGCTCTAGTTTGAAAGCTGTATATTGTTGGAGTGGAGGGAAAGAGAAGGGAAAAGTGGTGATTCAGAGAGCCAGATGGGCTATTTGGCTTTTGGGCTCTGCTCTCTTGAAGTACCAAGCATTTCCCCCTTGGGTCTGCCCAACTGCTTATGAATAAAAATCCTGTGCCTTGTATGGGGACATTATTCAGCCTCAGATCTCTCATTTCTCTTTGTTTTGAGCCCTAGAATATGACCTGACCCTCTCCTTCCCAAAGCATCGAGATGGTTAAAACTTAGTCTTGAAATTTTTTTGTTGACCTTTCCCTGTATTGCTTAGTCATCCCTCGGCTGCTTTTTGCCATTTTGGAAGGTATTTGTGATAAGTGTTTGGGATTTTGCAGACTATTTCCCTACAACCTCTTATTGGAGGTAGGGGTAGAGTTGGGAATGACCAAAAATCACATAGAACTTTGTTTCTTATTTAGACTGTCAGTCTTCAAAATTTATGACAGGCCCTTTTATATTTGGTTGCTGTTAATAAAATTTTGGCTTGTTTTATTTTTTATTTTTATTTTCGTTTTTTGCTTTATTGGGTTTTGAAGAAGGGAGATTCTATAATCTAGCTCAGGTTTTCTCAATGTCAGCACAGATAACATTTTGGGTTGAGTAATTATCTGTTGTGAGGGGGTTGCCCTGTCCATTGTAGGATATTTAACGACATCCCTGACTTCTACATACTAGACGCCAGTAGCATTCCCCTAGTTCAGACAACCAAAAATATCTTCAGACATTGCCAAATATTTCCCAGGGAGAAAAGCAACCTGGTTTGAGAGTCACTGATTAACTTTGTTCACTCATCTTTACTCTTCCTCCTAAATACCTACCTCC